GACACTTGATTCTTGACATTTGTTTTCTTTTGTACCTTTTTTGTTTGTCAGAAAAGTATTTATAATATATCTCTGTATATCAATGTATTCATGTGCTGAGCAGCCTATGCTTGCTGTGCTCTTGTCGCAACTGAATTTTATCTTTTTTTTTTTTTTTGCACATTAATGTTGGGACAATTGCTGGAATTTTTATGTAAAGATTTTTATCTCAGAGCCGTTGAGAATTCCATAAATGGTACAGAAATGCCATTAAAGGGGCTACAAGTGAAGCTGTGGGTTTAGGTGCTGTGCATAATATTACTGCTTTTATAAAACCATTGAGGTTAAGCAGATTTCAGTGCTTCAGGCCAACCTAATTGTTTGCTTTGAAGAGCAGAAGGGGAAGGTGGCTTCTTGTCCTTGATACCTGTGCTTCAGGGAACAGGAGTGCTGAAGTTTGATTTTTGGGGTTTTGTTTTTTTTAGTTGGGGTTGAGAGATAGGAGGAAGAATGGGAAAAGAAGAGAAAAGTGAAGCAGCTTCATACATTAAGACAAATGACAGTTTTCACAAAAGTATGATGAAGGATATTTTCTGTTTGTTCTTCCTGGTTTTGACAAGGTGACAATAACAGTGAGAAGTAAACTGAGAAACCACAGACGAGGAAAAAAATGACAGAAGTTGTAGTTAATCTTTCGCCCTTTGTTCCTCTGTTTGTATTGAGAACTACTTAATGTGGGATGTGTTCTTCTCAGAGGCACTTCTTAGTTAAGAATTAAGAACTTTGAGACAGGCAGTAAACCAAGAGGATAGGAGATATGAAATATGGTATTTTCTCTCCAACTTTCAGGTAGAATTCGCTTATGAGCAATCTAGTGTCTACAAATCAAGTTGAATTCTTTAGCTAGAGAAAGGATCTTTTTTTTTTTTTACGTAAGGTGAATGCAGAGCGTTACCTAGAGAACAGAATGTCAGCTCTACTACTTTTTTGGTATCAACCAAATAGGTTGACAGGCAGCCTGAAGGCACAGCTCAAACAATATGTTTTACTAAACCAACTGGTAATTGGTTTACTAAACCAATTGGTTTAGTAATACGTGGTTAATATGGAACTAAGAAATGAGATCCTAAAGTGAAATTTGGAAACAAAAAGTAGAACGTTTGATGTTTCGTACTACCAAGTAGACCTTTTAGTGCATGCGTACGTATGGTGCTTTAGTACCGGTTGTATTGCTTTAGTACCAGTCGTATCTGTCCCATAAACTTAGCTGGTGTGGGGGGGCATTGCATTACAGCTCGAACAGTGCATTTAAGGAGAGATTCATCTTGCACTTTCTGGTTAATTTCATTATGTTTGAAATGTAAATATGAAACCTTCGGAAAATGTGTGTGCTTTAGTGCTTTGATAATATGAACAGTTGATGTTTTGGGTCTGAGTAGTTCTGTGATGACTGATACCTGTTTCCGTTCTTATGCTCAGCTGTTTGCGTCTTTATATAAAAATCTCAAATATTTAAAGCATTTGGATTTACTGTTTCTGCTGCTGACACCTAGCACCATTTACACTGTTTGAAAGTATTTGTCAGAATGAAAATGCATTTAGATTTTTGCCTTTTCAGTGACAGAACAGTTTTGCAGTGAAAAAAACCAAAGATTGAGGAAATAGATTCTACAGCTATTAATGGTTAGTGGTGTTCATGTTTTTGTTTTGGCTGATGAAAGTATGTGAAAAGTCTCTGTTTAAGCAGACACTGTTAAAGATTATTTATGTCTTTCCCTGGCTGTGTAACAGCTGATCCAGTCATTGTGATGTCTCATTATAGTGCTGTAATAATGAGTCCATAAATTCACATAAGGAAAAACTTTCATTTTAAGCAAGTTTTTCCATCCCTTTTGATCCATCAGATCCCTTACACTTTTCTGAAAAGCAATCCTATGACCTAGTTCTTGTGTGTTGTTTCTCTACACATAAACATTTTCAGGAAGTTTGACAACTATATAGTCTAATTTTAGGGGTGAGGAATCTTTTGGTTACATTCACTCAATATTCCATCTGCAGAGCAATTTAGATTTGCAGTGCAGCTGCAAAGGCTGATCTGCATGCAGTAAGTATGTAGTCTGGATAATTTTGTAGCTATTTTCTAACAGTTCTGCAATGGACAGAAACAGTTTCAGAGTGACTGTCCTGTGGCTAGGTGAGTTATCATCATAACAGCATGGAGGTTGTATTGGTTTGACCAAAGCTTCAGTTTCACAAGCAGCTAGGTCAATGTAATGCCCCCGTACTATTTCTGGAAAGGAAGAGGGCTTGCTGCCTCCTCCTTTTTCATCCCCTTTTCCCCGGCCACACACTTCCTCTGGTGCTTGTCAGCCTGTGTCGTGGGTGGGTACAGTTTACTAAGCCCGCACAAAGCTCTCGGCTTCTTTTTCAGGACTGATCTTTTGCCCCGTTGGCGAGGTGAATTGCCTCGTGGTGGAAGCATCCGGCCACCAAATCTAGGGCAAGGTGAGCAGCAGGACTTCTGGGAACCGGTGCCACAAGCAGTGCCAGACCTCTCTGGTTTGGTGGCCGTAGGCTGTTAGATCCACTCACTCTGTAATGTGATACAGCAAACCACGGGCTGCTGTAACTCTGCACATGTTTATCTCAGCAGTAACGTGAATGTGAGACTTTGGAAGGCTTCCCATCTGAACTGCCGTCTCTTGAGTTAAACCTTGCTGTAATAAGCATGTGTGTTTGTTGGAAAATGCTTTCTGTGCATTCTTGATGTGCTACACAGCTAAGGTTATCTTCTGTTCTTTAAGTTAAGGCGTAGGTCCTGAATATAGCAAGAATTATATCCACCTTACTCATGGTAGTTGTGTTGTGTAACTAGATTCATAGAATCACAGAATGGTTTGGGTTGGAAGGGACCTTAAGGACCATCCAGTTCCAACCCCCCTGCCATGGGCAGGGACACCTTCCACTAGACCAGGTTGCTCAAAGCCTCATCCAGCCCGGCCTTGAACACTTCCAGGGATGGGGCACAGCTTCTCTGGGCAACAAATATTCAGATTGAATCTGAAGTTTTCAAAAGCAGCCAAGTGCCTGTCACAATGTACTGTAGTTCATGATTCTCATAGGAAAGTAGGGGACATTCTTAAAATTCTTTGGTTGAAGTGATTGTGTTCTGATACTTTCAACTGTAGGTCTCATGTTTTCCCCTAAATCTAGATGCAAAAAATAACTGGAAATAAAAGACTGAACTCATGTACTAACTGTGGGAAAATGGAGGTGTTATGAACACTCACAAAGTTGTTTAAAGTGTGAATATAGTATTGTCACTATCTATACTGAGAAAATTAACCAAAAATGTGTTTCAGGTGAGAGAAAACAGAAGGTCTTTTTGTAAGATGAAAACCGATGAGATTAGCATTTATATCTTCGGTCTCCTTTAGTCTTGCACTTTTCCAAATATCCTCTGAATAATTTAGGTGTTCTTGTTTGAGTGCCTGAGAGCATTAGATTGTGTACCACCGACTCCCCTTTCTCCTAACTTCTAAGCATCTTACATATCACTTACTCCTGTATACGGGAACGTAATCATTGTCTACGTGGATGTGTTCAAACGTGTTGCCGTTATGTTGGAACTCAATGATTTACATGTCTTCCTGTAACATTTCCAGGTAATTCGGCTGGGGGCCACCCCTGTCAGCCTGAGCTTGCTCTCTATCCAAGTTTATGCTTCCTCTTCAGAGAAGGAGGCTTCCAAAAAGGAGTTGCTGAAAATTGAGGAGGTAAGTGTGGTTAGAGCCCTAGTGCTCTTCTGTCTATTTGGAAATATCTGCAGAATTCCGAAAGACATTATATTTTGATGCGTGAAAGGGTTTAGGTGTATCTTTTCACTGTCTGTATTCTTGCCTTTAAAGTTACTTCTCAATTTTTGGTAATAGAGGTGTCGATACGGTTTGGCTTCTTTTACCTGAGGGTTACATTTGACGCCCTCCGCTTGACAGCAACAGGTCTCCTTGTGTGTGAGATGTTTTTCCTGCCATCAAGGCCGCCTGTTCTTCGTTCAGAAATTACCTTTTCATTTTGTTGATTTACTTGCAGTCATATTTCAAATCCACAGGACTCTCTTCTTTGCTTTTTACCCAGGTAATACCATGGGGTTTTTTTATTACAAGTACTGTTGGCAAATTCTGATAATATTTCAGTTATATTCTCCAGTAAGACAGCAATCAGAAGTTTATATTTCTAAAAATATTCTCCTTTTACAGGCAAAATTCTTGTCGGTGATGCTCAGTGTCCTATGTAGACACCTACAGAATTTGATCAGTTTTCTTTTCCTTACAGCATTCATATCTAAGCACCAACAAATCAGTAGTGATAACAAAAACCTGTTACTGTATTGTTTCTCTAAAATTTACTAATGTCTTGGTTACATCACAAGTAGAGCTTTATAACACCCTGCCAAAGTGTGGGCTCACCAGCATTATTGTATAGGCTTTTAACAGTCTCCAACATTAAAAATAAATTAAAATAATTGTAGTTCATAACTAAATTCAGCTTGATATCCATGAGAGCTTGTAGCTGTTGAGAAATTTTAAGTACTACAACCCAAGCTGAAGTTTTGTTACATGAGCAATTAAACTAGATGAAACCTATTTTTGTGTGTACTTAGGTCTTTTGGATGTGTCGGCATGGGCAGTTCACTTGCATAATATGAGAGGATCAGTAATAGAAGGGGTCTCCTGGCTTCACCCCAGTTGCAGTAACCTTAGTTTGGGCCGTCGTGTGCCCTACAGCACCGCTGCTGTGAGTCAGGAGTCAGGCAGCAGGCTGGAGTTACATATGTGCTGAGTAATTGGCTTGCCCAGCAGCTTCAGCAAAGCAGAATGTGCAGGCCATGGGGTTTTGGCTGCCTTTCTGGCCATTCACAGAGTCTGTCAGTTTGGCGTTCTCCTCTGTCACCTGACTCGTTTCATACAATGTACGGGAGTTGCCTTATCTCTGCGACCTCTGTCATTGCACCAGACGTGGCTGTGAGGTTAACAGCATCAAAGGTAGTCTGATCGTGTCCGGTTGCCAGAGGTGACCGGATTTCCTAGGGAAATGGCACTTGAAATGCTTGTTTTTCAAAGTATTATGGGAAATGCAGCTGCACGAGTTAACAAATTATTTGACAAATTCTATGTCATCATATATTTTGTTACAGCTAGCAGCTTTTTTAGTTATTATAGAGATACGGTTGTTTTCCAGCTTATCTTGAAAAGAAGGCTAGCTACACTTTTCAACAATACATGTAAACCTCCGTTTATTACAAACTACTAAATGTAGTATAAATGTGGTATAAAATATAAGCACTGTCTCTCTCTATATATATCTCTTCTGTTGGTGACACAGACAGTGGGATTGAGTGCACCCTCAGCAAGTTTGCTGATGATGCCAGGCTCTGTGGTGTGGTTGACATGCTGGAGGGAGAGGATACCATCCAGAGGGACCTTGACAGGCTTGAGAACCTCATGAGGTTCAACAAGGCCAAGTGCAAGGTCCTGCACCTGGGTTGGGGCAATCCCAAGCACAAGCTGGTCCAAGAATGGACCGAGACCAGCCCTGAGGAGAAGGACTTGGGGGTACTGGTAGACAAAAAGCTGAACATGAGCCAGCAGTGTGCGCTGGCAGCCCAGAAAGCCAACCGTATCCTGGGCTGTATCCAGAGAAGTGTGGCCAGCAGGTTGAGGGAGGGGATTCTACCCCTGTACTCTGCTCTGGTGAGACCCCACCTGTGTCCAGCTCTAGAGCCCCCAGCATAGGAAGGATATGGACTGGATGGAGCAAGTTCAGAGGAGGCCACGAATCTCGTCAGAGGGCTGGAGCACCTCTGCTATGGGGACAGGCTGAGAGAGTTGGGCTTGTTCAAGGGGGCCTACAAGAAAGCTGGGGGGACACTTTTTACAGGGGCCTGTAGTGACAGGACAAGGTAATGAGTAATGGGTTTAAATTGAAATCAGGGAGGTTTAGATTAGATATCAGGAAGAAATTCTTCACAGAGAGGGTGGTGAGGCACTGGAACAGGTTGCCCAGAGAAGCTGTGGATGCCCCATCCCTGGAAGTGTTCAAGGCCAGGCTGGATGTCTAGTGGAAGGTGTCCCTGCCCATGGCAGGGGGGTTGGAACTAGATGGTTTTTAGGGTCCCTTCCAACCCAAACCATTCTGTGGTTCTGTACTAAGCATCAGAGTAGTATGTAAACTGCTGGGAATTTTAACAGGTTTTGTTTTGATCTAAACTTGCTGTTCATCTTCAACAGTATAGATTCTGGCCTTTTTTTTAAAGTAATACAATTTTACATATGTTTAGGTAATTGCAATAAAATGAATATATTGTGATGCTAAACCATAAATATAGCGTTTTAGTATTCTCTGTGAAGATGTCCAGTGCTCTTCAGGTGGATGTTACAGTTCCGATTTGCTGTGCCCCATGGTGCTGTTAATGCTGTCGGTTGTTGAGGTGGTTAATGACTGCAGCATCGAGATGTTGCACCGTTTTCTTGCTCAGTAACAAACAGACAAATTTGTACTGGATGTTACCTTTGTTAGAAGCTACTTAAACTCTTTAATGATGGCTTGTGCAAATATAGAAAATGATCGATTGTGATTTCAGAGTTGTACATACATTTAGTATGTACATAACTATACATGTTCCCAGTTAACATACATTTATTATGTTAACTGGGAACCAGAACTGCTGATTAAGACCAGAAACATTTTTCACAATTACATTTTTTGTTCTTATTAAACTAGTTTAATATTAATTTATAACCTGTGACTTGGATCATGTAGCATCTATGGATGAATTGCATCGCAATTAGAAGTCACCTTCATCATAGTATATAATTAAACTTTGCTCATAGTGGTTGTTTCACAGCTGTGCCTGAGTTTTTTTATATAGTGTTTATGCAGTAAGCACCGTGTTAGGTGTTCTCTGGTTAGACTGTTCATGCCCTGAAGACCTACTAGAAAATTACACCTTTGTTTTTAACCTCTTCTTTGCTAATATTCACAGCTGTCACTCTACTCCTCTCCAGCTCGTGAGACTAAGTATGTGGAGAGGCCACAAACCCAACTGGAAGAGGGAGTTTCGCATTTACGGCATGTTATGGAGCCATATACAGCCTGGTGTCAGGTATAATGGTTTTACATCGCGTCTGGTGGTGGGTCAGTGGTAAGGGTTGAGCTGGGATATATTTTTTTCTTTTCAGACAGAATTAATAGATAGCAGCAAAGTCGATAGCTGTACAAGTGTTTTTCCAAAATGCTGCATTACTTAAAATTTTCCCCTGTTCAGGTCATCATATTTACCCATTCCTCATGGAAAACAAGCTGTTTCTTTCTATTAATTTGCTGAACTAAACCCCTGCTTTTTTGCATTTTGTATCCCTTAAAAAGGATTAAAGTGAAATTAACTAAAGATGAGAATTAACTGAAATAAACTTGAAGCTTAAGGATATGTAGGGATATCTGGATTTGGTACTGTCCTTTGAGGGAGGCAGGAGAGTGATTAAATCTGCTTTTTCCACGCTCAAGGAGAAGGCCTTAAATTATCAAGCAGTGTGTTTTGGAGCAGCAGTAACGAGTTGTCCTCATTGCAACTGTGACAAAACACAACTTTGCAGAAAACAAATCAGTATTTGCTGAACTGTAAAGTTGGGTGAAGGAAAGCGGCCCTCTGGAAGAAAGGGGTAGGGGCCCCTACTAGTGGCAAACCTAGCCCTCAAACTTCACCCCAGAACTTTCTTGCATATTTTATTAGGTAGCATGCTTATACTAAGCAGTCATTAAATACAAAAATAGTCTTTGGAGCATAGAGGAAGACCAAGATCTTTATTGATATTGGATTGCAGAGTCATATGATGTCTTTCTTACTCTTCCCAGCAAATACTGAGACTTACTTTTGAAGCAAGGGCTTGCTTGCCACCTGGTTGCCTCTTGGCAACTTCAGGTGATTCTCTGCTTTGCACTCTCTGTTGTTAATCCTCTTCTTAAGCTGCAAGCTGGTTTTCCGGTTCTCCATAGAAAGTAAAGCTGTTCTAGGGAGAAGGGACACCCTGATCTGAAGCTCTGTGTTGTGGTACTAACCTTTAATAGCACTGAAGCATTTTTTCAGGAATACTCAGGGTTACTCAGTCTAGTGCTGTGTTTCTGAAGTGCCATCAGCAGGAGTACTGACTTTGGTTTTGAGGAAGGGGCATTTTCTACAGTATAGTTAGAGCTCTGACACCTAAACGCCCGGGTTCTGTTTGGTTGCCTGCGGTAACCGTAACAGCACAAAATTTGAGACAAGATTAGTTGCCCGGTTGGACTGACTGCAGGTAAGCCTTGAAGAGAGCTTTACCTCTCACTGGCCTGTTGTATTCCTCTTTGCTTTATTTTTTTGGCTGCATGACGATGATTTACATAAGATATGCTCTTCTGCTCACACACAGCAGGCCATTTCCTGGCAGTGGTTTACTGACTCATTTTATGAAGTGGTCATGTAAACTTTGGGGTCATCTTGCTTGTTTAACTGTAGTCAGGTAGTTTTTGTTTTACACCACTGTACCCCTTGCTGTGTTAAAGAAAATAACATTTTAGATGTGTCAGTTGTCTTTAAAATTAAAAACATAACCCAGGATAATGAGAATAAATGGGTTGTGTTCGGGTACCTGGTTTACTCTTCTTTTTAAACTGCTTGCTTAACTGTAGTAGAAAGTCAGCGCAAAACACAGATGTATAAATGAGCCAAGTTATGTGTGAGCTGTGACAGGAGATCAGACACGGTCTCTGGCATCTTTAGAGCATGTTCTTTTTTCTTTGGCTTTTAATGAGACCAACATCCATTTAGAGTTACGTTGTGTGTCGCATGCTAACACTTTTCCCCTCCCCCCCCCCCATTACAAGGTGTGTTTTCTTTTTTTTTTTTAAGTCACCCTTGCCAGTGTTTTTATGAATGTTCTAAAGATATGGTCCCCCGTGCAGTATCCCAAACAAGTGCTTTCACTTCTGCACAGTTACAGCTGAAGTGGTGTTGTGAGACTGTTCTCTTCTTTAGCTGTAGACATGCATGTTTTTGTTTCCTAATGGATAGACAGTCTCACACTGTCTCTCCAAAGGATTTTATTAGCAAAATAACAATTAACAGGGTTGCTCTTATTGAGATTTTTTTTTTTTTTTGACTGTGATGAATAAATTCACACTGCCTTTTACTGCCTGCATATTTTCAGTCTGAGGGGAAAAAAAAAATAAATTGAGAACTAGTTTATGGGGTTGATGCAGTGCTCTTTGATTCACATTGGACATTGAATGGACATCTAGTTTTCCAAATCTCTTAAAAAATGCAGTTTTGTTAGCCTAAGATAGTCTCTTGGAATTTATCACCTTGCAGAATGAGTCCAGTACCCATGTGAAGTGCTGGGAAGGAGTTCATTACAGTGTTGAACTTCCTTTCTTTGCATCAACTCAAGTATTTTTGAGATACCTACATACACTGAGAAGCTTCAAATAATCCTGAGTTTCAGCTACCTGATCAGGAACTCAGTGAAATACTGAAGTTGATGTCTGTGTTTAGAGGTACCGCGTTGCATCTGTGTCCAAAGGCTACCTTGAGAAAGAGCTGTACGTTATGCAAAACGTTACGTTGAGCAAGCATAGCCCTGTAAGTGAAGGGTGGAAGTGGGAATAAAAAAGTTATTTTAGGCACCAAACACTATTTTTTTTTTTTTTTATTCCTTCATCAGGTCAGTTGCAATCTGTTGTGAATATTTTACTTGGTATCTATTTACTGTTGTTTTCTTGTCTCTCTTTTTTTTTTTTCTTTTTTTTTTTTTTTAGGATCTCTATGCCAAAGCTATGCCCAAATTAGAAAAAGCTGTTGAGCATGGTAGAGGTAAATCAGTTTAGTTTTCTTAATTAGAATTTTAAAATGCAGGACTGTACTATATCTTCTGTTAAAAGAGAATTCCATAAAGCATCATTTATTATACATAATTTCTAATGCATTTAGGACTACTTTATTTGCCCTGTATATCCGTTTAGATTTCCATGGTAGATCATTATGACACTGCTTTTTTAAACAATTAAAATCTGAGACCTACATCTGTGTCTACCAATGTCACTAAAAATGACAGGTGTGCAGTAAAAGAAGGAAAAAAGCACATTTTTTTCCCAGTCGGTAGTATTTGCCTGACCCAGCCTAGGAACTGAAACTTTCTGCAATGTTTATTACATGTTGCAACTGTTCGGTCACGGAATCACAGAACGGTTTGGGTTGGAAGGGACCTTAACGACCATCTAGTTCCAACCCCCCTGCCATGGGCAGGGACACCTTCCACTAGACCAGGTTGCTCAAAGCCTTGTCCAGCCTGGCCTTGAACACTTCCAGGGATGGGGCATCCACAGCTTCTCTGGGCAACCTGTTCCTTTTGTTTGTAATTATTAGCCTTTTAATTTTGGCTTACTTTCTTGGATCTCCTAAGAATTCTGAATTAATCCAAAGTAATTTGTATTTAGTTTTGGAAGCATCCTTTCATACTTAGGCTCATCAGGACTGAGCATGGATGCTACCCAGACTTCATTTCAGACACTCTGCCTCTCTTCCTTAAACTTCAAAAGTCTGAGGCTTTTTAACTCCTTTGTATGGAAGTTTTTTCATAGTTTTTCATTCCCCCATCAGATTCCCATCTTGGAATGAGCTTTGTTTATGCTGTCTCTTTCCTTTGTTCTGTGATTTGTTTTTTGTACAGTGTTTTACTTCAAATAATTCTTGTTAATGTGTAAGTGTAAGGATCCATTTTCCAAATGTTTTTATCACTAATTTGAAAAAGACCTCATCGAGATGTAAAACTGCAAACCAAAACAGATGGCCCAGGAGCAAAGGCAAAAACTCCTATGAAAATTGGTAAATACAATACGATGTTCAGTTTCACTCATGTGTCACTAGAGAAGACCTCAAAGGCTTTGAATTTTATGCCAGCAGATCTAAAATGTGCATGGTAGTTTAATGTGTTTTGATAACTCTTTTATGTTTTGTAACAATTGCCATCATGTATTGGTGATTCCTTATCACAAAACACTTTCACATTACATTAAAGCACTTTGTTCTGACTTCTTTTCAGAGGGCTGTGAATTTCTCCAAAACCCCCCTGCTGGATTTTATCCAAGGCTTGGTGTGATAGGGTTTGCTGGAATTGTTGGATTGTTTCTTGCTAGAGGTAAGCAGCCACCTTTTGAACTGCTTACGTTATGATTTGGGATAAATAATTTAGTTGTGTTTTCTTGGATACTTAATTTCAATTGTGACGCATGAGATCCCACTTAACTGTACAAGCATGTTTCTACAGTGTTCCTGCAATTGTAAGTGACATTCACGTGAAAGGTGTGTTGTAATAACCATCAATTTTAGTTTTTGATTATACATTTATTATTGGAATCTTGTCTTTGATCATTTTCAGTTCTACCTTTATTATAGCAAAAGTAGGAAAGGAGCTTTTTTTAGCCTAAAAATCTTTTCAATTAGTTAAGCTCTTGAACACATATGTCACTGTAGAAAACTGGAGAGGGATTGATTATGGTAAAATACAGAGGTTTCTGAACAATGAGTTGTATATCCAATTTCCTCCAGAGCTGCTGCGGATGGTGATATTGAGCACAAATACTTGTGAACTCTGGGTGTACTGTAAATACATGCACAAATTGTGCTGTAGAAATGTAATACAGTTAATTTCATCACACTAGTTGAAGAAACTAATACGCTTAGGCTTTCATTTAAAAAAACAAATCTTCTTCTATGAAATGTTGATTGTGAAAAAATATTTTGTGTCGAGATATCCTTAGTACAGTGAAACGAAGTAACACAAGAAGAAAACTTGTAGGTAATGGAACAGTCAAATTCTAGAACTGAAATACCAGTGAGGACTTGTGTTGGATAAAAATACAGCTTTGTGGGGCCTGTGCATGTTGAACAAACTGGAAGCGTGTGCTTGGCTGTGTAGAAATGGAAAGCATTCTGTGAACGTATGCGCTTATGTACGCATTCCTACATAGAAAAGTATGGTATTCACGGTTTAATCATGGGAATATCGTGCAGTCAGCCAGCTCAGTTTAAAATGTCGTTGAAGATCATTTCTTCTAACCTTGTTGGGAAGTACTGGAATGGATACAGAAGTATTCCTAAATTTCCCTCTAATGGGTATCTCCAGGAGGTAGCAGCCTGCTGGAAGGCATTAGTATGTTCAACTATTACATTTATTCCTAAAGAGGTATTGTAGGCACATTGATAAGCTATTGCTAAGGAAGATTTCTCCATTCCAAGAAATTATGACGAAAGTGTAATTTTTCTGATTGTAAAGGTGCAACAAAGCTGGCCTTTTCTGTGCTTTCTTCTAGCTAACTGGTACCCAGTTCCCTCTTCACAAGACCAGCAACATTACTTTATGAATGCCCCTTGTTTACTGCTAAGTTTATTATCTCATCATGAGCATATGTTAGTAGAAACACTAAACGTTCCTAATATGAATTTCCTCTTCAGAATTTATTATTCCTTTATTAGAAGGATGTGTGGCTTCACCTATAGGACAGGCTGTTCTATGAGGAACAGAACTGCTGCGTCTGGACGCTGTACGTCTGTCTGTTTATGGCCTTTTTTCTCCTGTACTGCCTGCTTTTCTCCATTACCTGCTCCCTCCTGTGTTCCCTTCTGCCTGGATAAACTGCAGCATGCCCAGTAACACCTTCAGTGATGCATATTGTTACTGGCCAGCCAGGATGCACAACCTGTGGCGAGAGGATGAACTTTTCAGGCAGTTAAATTATTTTAGACTTGTATGATTGAACATAGAGTTAAAATTGATTAAAACATTCAAAATTTAATTGGGGACTGAGCAATAGGAGTATGGCATGATTGGAAGTACTTTAATTTCAAAGTACTTTCAAATGCTTTGCAAATTGCTATAGTGAATCAAGAAAAATTATTCATAAGAACAGTTGTGAAAGAATCAATATTTGTGTCAAGGTAACTTATCAAATTTGTATTGGAACGTCTCTTGTTCTGCTTGATGTGTCAAAGGAATGCCATCCTAACCTTTTTTTGCCCAAGTTTTTCCTTTTAGTTTAGAAGAGAGTATCATTTGGTATAATTTTCTTAAATATCTTATAACGATGTCTTTTACTTCATCATTCACTGCATAATAAATTATGTATTACTACAATAATATAATTGTAAGGTAATTTTCATTATGGAAAGATGTTAAAAATATTCTTCTAAAAAAGATAAAAGAATAATTACCGATCAGAGTAAGCATGTTTCATTAGAAACCAGTGGGACTGAACAGAAAATATTCTGAACTGTATATAATAAAATTGTTTTGGTTATAAATAAAAGGGCAGGGCCATTCAGCTGTCTTGGGTAACATATACCCTAACAATTTTATTTTGTTTTTCTTTTGTTATGAAACAGGCTCAAAAATAAAGAAGTTAATGTATCCTGCAGGTCTGATGGGTATTGGTGCCTCCATGTATTACCCTCAGCAAGCGGTTGCTATTGCAAAGGTCAGTGATGATGCATTCTTTGGAGAACTGTCTTTTACTTTGATTATTTCCTCCTACCTTCAAATTAACTGGTAATCCATATTTAAAAGCCGTGTCAGCGTGCTTGGCACTTAACAAAATTAGAGTTATTTTGCCAAAGGACGTGCAGTCTAGGCTGAAAGACGGTCAGACATTCTGTTTCGTTTAGTGACATTTTTCCTAACATCTGCAGCAGTGTCTTCAGTTTGAGGAACATTAATTTCCTTGCTGAATCTCTAATGATCATGGTTTAACCCCAGCCAGCAGTCAAGCACCACACATCCGCTTGCTCACCTCCCCCCACCCCCAGTGGAGGAGGAGAATCGGAGGAAAAGACAGGGAAACTTGTAGGTTGAGAACAGTTTAATAATTGAATCTAGATTAGTCTCATTAGTATCACTATTTTATTAATGTTACTACTAATAATATGTAAAGAAAATAATGGAAAATAAAACAAATTATAAATTGCTCACCACCCGCCGACTGATATCCAGCCAGGTCCCGAGTAGCGAGAGTCAGGGCCAGAGAGAGAGGTCGCACCAGATTCAGAGCAAGCCCCGTGAGTGAGAGCATGAATGAGAAAACCAACCGACCAACATGGCACCCCGGCCCACCCCCAACTTACATACCGTGCATGATGGTCTACGGAATGAAATAACCCTTTGGTCAGTTTGGTCAGCTGTCAGGACTGTGTCCCCTTCCCACTGCTTGTGGTGAAAAGGGTTGGGAACGCAGTCACAATACCAGAAGCTGAGAAAGTCCTTGACTTGGTACAAACACCCCTTGGCAACAACTAAAACCACCGGTGTTATCAGTACCCTTCTCAGCACACATCCAAAACACAGCCTCACGCTAGCCGCTGTGAAGACAACCCGGCCGACGGATACCCAGCCAGTTCCCGAGTAGCGAGAGTCGAGTCAGGGCAGAGAGGTCGCACCAGATTCAGAGCAAGCCCCGTGAGTGAGAGCATGAATGAGAAAACCAACCGACCAACATGGCACCCCGGCCCACCCCCAACTTACATACCGTGCATGATGGTCTACGGAATGAAATAACCCTTTGGTCAGTTTGGTCAGCTGTCAGGACTGTGTCCCCTTCCCACTGCTTGTGGTGAAAAGGGTTGGGAACGCAGTCACAATACCAGAAGCTGAGAAAGTCCTTGACTTGGTACAAACACCCCTTGGCAACAACTAAAACCACCGGTGTTATCAGTACCCTTCTCAGCACACATCCAAAACACAGCCTCACGCTAGCCGCTGTGAAGACAATTAACTCTGTCCCAACTAAAACCAGCACGCTAACCTCAAGCAATTATAAATCAACGCAAATACGCTTAGTAAGCACAGTTTGAGTGTGTGCTTAGAATATTAAGGAAGTCTGAAGTATCTTGAGAGCAAATGAAAACAGGGCTTGAAAGAAAGAGAGGAAAAAAAAGAAGGGAGATTCTATAGAGAAATCATAGGAACAACATTTGGAGAGAAACACTGTTACTGAAGTTTTCTGCTTTTTGTTAGATAGAGTTTTAGGGAAGATAGCATGCCCATTCCAGAATGTGACACTGATTCTGCTCCTTATTGGATTCCTTTCCTGTTTATGCATTTGTTGTTTTGGGCAACCAAGAAAACATGTTAACTTAGAGGTGCTTAGCTGGGTTTCCTGTGAAAGTCTGACCTGAAGAGACCAGATAATTGTTTACAGCCCCTGCTGATGCCAGTTCATGTGCCTTGCTGTCCACACTTAATCAGGCTGACAGATTCCTCAGCTCTCCACCACATTCTTTTTCAAACCCAGCTTTTAGCCACTCATAGTGCACACTAAAATGTGTGTCAGCAATACTTTATATTTCAGGCTTTGGTAGCGGGTAGATTGGCTATCCAGTTATTGGTGACTTGTGAATGAGCCTGAGATGTCAGGATTAAAATATGATGTTCTCCAGAACATCTGATGTTCTTTAAAAAGGGAGAGATCATTACTTCGGGAGAATCAAAAACGCTGTGTTTGAACTCTGCCAGCATGGTGGTACCCTGATCTTGGAAGGAATTTTTTTTAGTGCGTCCAGGATTCAGATACTCTAAATAGTTTTAGTTTTGTTCACTTGTCCTCAGGGAGTGAAAAATTATGCAAATGGCAGGGAAAAAACCAAAGCAAAACAAAAATGTAAGAAGCTTAGGCACTTCTATTGGAAACTGTATTAAAATTCTAGTTGGCTTTTGAACAGTGAAGTGGGAAGTGATTGAATGGTGTTCAAACTGATGTTATTGTTTGTAAAGAAGCTCAGCCCAGCCTTAACTATGGATTTGCTACTAACAGCTTCACAATACCTTGTTTATTTTATGAAAACTTTGAAGTGCGTGATTGCCCTTTGATTAATTCACAGTTCTTAGTTTGACTGTAATGGAAAATCTGATAGGAGGCCACGAGCCTGAAACTTGATTGGAATAGGTTTAGCTGTGTTGACTTGGTCAGGACACCAGACGTCAAGTTTGGAAACTTCTGTGGCAAGAGCGATATCCTAGATACTCTTTTGGTTCCTCTAATCTCTCACACACTTTTCTTCAAGAAGCAAAGTTGTAAGCATGTCAGATCTTACTGTCCACAATCTTTACGCTTTAATCTGAAATTGGGAGCGCTTTCTAGTAATTATTTTGAAATGTTTCATAGGCCTTTCAGGAGCGTCTGTAACCCTAGAAGGGGATACCTGCAGTACAAAGCTCACTTGACAAGTTAATAGAACAGTGGAGGAAATATTCTGGGACTTAAACTTTAAATTTATTATTTGTATTATGTTGTTCTAATTTTTCTTCCACATTTGAGTACTTCATCACTGTGTTTTCATGTACAGTGGTGTATTTCTCTTCATTTGGTAAACTTTGATTTGACCATATTTAAAAACCAAACAAAAACCCAAACCAAAACAAAAAAACCCAAAAAGTTTTGAGTGTCTTTTTTTCTTTTTTTCCTTCCCACCTTTATTAATGACTTTCCATTGGAGGGTTGGAACTAAAGACAGTTTGTGTTGGAAACAGCCCACATCTGGGGTTTAGTTGTGACTCAGAAATGTAGTTGCTGATTTGGGTTTGTTTTCTTTTAATTCTAATGATTGAATAGCCCCTTCTGTAAGTTAGTAACACGATCTCTGGCCAGAAGCACATCCCTTACCGCTGTGGTACACAACTGGTGTAGTTAATTCTGGTCAGCCAAAAGGGAAGTGATTCTTCATGCCTCCTGTGCCCAGCGGTAGAGCTCCATGTCTCGGGATGTTGTGGATGCTAAAGACGAGCATGGGGTTCAAGCGGAAGTACAACAGGTTCATAGGAGGGAAATGCCTTGAGCATTGTTATACGCATTAAGATCGCCTTTGGCTCAGGAAATCTCTGAGCAGCAAATTGGAGGCCGGAAGAAACTTCAAAAAATTAATTCAGAAACTGTTTCAAAACCATCAGAAAACTGTTTCGGAAACATCCTTTATGCTTGCTCTCTTCTCATGGTTTTTCAGCTTTGCCTGCTGTGGGAGATAAGGTATTACCTTGTTTCTTGATTTCATAAGTTTGTTAGTTTGATAACTGTCTGGTTGAGTGAATTGTCCATTTTTGCTGTTCCTTATTTGAAAGAAAAGTAAAAGTGATATGAAAGTGAGTACTGACCTGAGTCTGGAGCTGTAAAAACCACACACCCTTGAGTTTTAAAGGATGCTGTGAATATTACAGTTCTGTGTCATCTAAGGGGCAGAAGACACTCTCTTATTAGGCTTAGGGATTATTCTTGTCCTAAAATTACCTGTTGGTGCAAACACCATCTTTCCTAACTGTCTTCTGTTTTGACAGTTGACAGCCGGTTTTTCATTACAGGCATCTATCAGTGAATTAGGTCTTTCTTCTAAATAGCAAATAAAAAGAAATAAAGGGGTACTCTTACTGTTCTGTCAAAGCAGTGAAAATGTAAAATTGCAAAATAATGACAAACTGAGTAGGCTTTTTTTTTTCTCTTTAAAATGAGCGCGGTCTAATTAAGAAATAATTTGCTGATGTTAAACATATTGAACGTCAAATACCAAGAAAACTGGAATTGTCTCCATGCAGCATCACTCCACCCCTTTTTGTACAGATATGTTTTCGGGTAGTCTTCAAAGAGTTTTTTTAGCAAGTTGGCTTTTCTTATTCCTCATGTGTCTTCCCCCC